CCCCCCCCCCGTCGGGCATTGTCTCGGCTCGAGCGCAGGCAGGGGGGCACCGGTGCCCCTACCGGGCGCCGGCCATCAGCGGCGAGTGCGGGTGCTGACCCAGCGCGTGGTCCCGACCGGCGGACATGCCACCCCCGGCAGCGAGGGCCGGCCCCTCGGCGAAGGAGGATGCCGACCTGGAGAAGGACACCCCGCCGCGGTCGCCCCCCCCCCCCCCCCCCCGTCGGGCATTGTCTCGGCTCGAGCGCAGGCAGGGGGGCACCGGTGCCCCTACCGGGCGCCGGCCATCAGCGGCGAGTGCGGGTGCTGACCCAGCGCGTGGTCCCGACCGGCGGACATGCCACCCCCGGCAGCGAGGGCCGGCCCCTCGGCGAAGGAGGATGCCGACCTGGAGAAGGACACCCCGCCGCGGTCGACAAAAGGCGAGGCAGGACAGCTGTCCCCGACCGCGGCGGCAGAGGTGACGGCCGCGGCTGCCGCCGCCGCCCGGTCCATTTCCGCCTGGATGTCCAGCAAATTGGCCTCATACGACCGGAAGATGGTCGGGTGGTAGAGGAAGGAGCTGAGCCAGACCACCAGGAAGAGCAGACACACGGCCAGCAGGGCCAGGCCCGGCATGCCGGCGCGCTCGGCAGCACCCCAGATCAAGCCGATCAGGAAGGGCCCGATGGTGCGGCCCATGGCGGCCAGGGTCTGCCCCACGCCATTGGCCTCGCCGAGGCTGGGGGCCGAGAGGGATGGCACGCATACGAGTCAGTGTCACCAAGGGGGGAGGGGGGAGGGGGGGGGGGGGGGGAGGAGCCCAGCGAGCAAGGGCCCCCCTCCCCCGGCACACAGGCGGCCGCATGTGCACGCGTACCTCGATTGCGGGACCGAGTTGTTGATGTACACCATGACCGTGGTCAGGCCGGTGACATTGTTGACGCCGCGCGAAATGCACACGCTCACCAGCATCACCCAGAGGAGGGCCTCGCTGCCGGTCCACACGAAGACCCGCTGCGTCAGGCCCAGAGCCAGGGTGATGGGGATGACCATGAGCGCCCCGAAGCGCATGAGGGTCTGCCGGTGGCGGGGGCGCGTGCAGGCGTGCGAGCGCATGGGCGCAGGTGGCGCCAGGGGGGCCGACGGGGCAGGTAGAGATTAGCCGGGGATGCGGGGGCCGGGGGCCGGGGGCCGGGCAGGCGTGTCGACCAGCGGAAGGTGGCTGGCGGGCAAGAGAAAGGCACCACCAGACGGCAGGAGGCCGGTGGGGCGAGGAGAGGGGGGAGGGGAGGGGGGGGGGGACCAAGACCCCTGGCACCGAGGAAAGGCACGCACCACTAGGTGAAAACGCCGCGACACATGCCCATACAGGAACATGGAGTAGGGCGCGGTGGCGATGCCGATGGCCGCGAAAATGAGCCCCGATTGGCTGGATGTCCGGCCGAGGCCGCCCTCCTCCACCGGGAGCCGCGCAAACAGCGGCATCATCCCATCCCACGAGGAGTTGGACATCGAGAAAAGCCCGTACACCAGGGTGGCTATGAGTAGGTTGCGCCCGGCCGGCGGCAGGGCTGGGGCCTCTGCCGACTGGGCTCCCGCCTCGCCGGGGCCCAAATCCCGCAGGGGAATGGCCTCCCCGAGCCCCAGGGCATCCTCCTGCACCGGGGCGTATCGCCGGCTGGGGGAGGAGGTCCGTGCGCGGCGCACGCACCCCGCCAGCCCGGCATACAGGCGGCCGATGCCGCGGGTGGCGTCCGCATACAGGGCGGCAAGGGCCTCCGGCAGGAGGCCCCCAGGCGGCGGAGCCGGCGGCTTGATGGTCATCGATGCCTCGAGGCCGATCTGGTGCTCGAGCGGATCATCCGGCGTGGAGCGTGCCGACCCGGAGGACAGGCCGCTGTCCAGCAGCAGGATCGTCAGCACCAGCGACAGCAGGCAGAAGCAGGAGGCCAGCAGCAACGGCAGGAAGAAGGGCGACGCCAGCCAGAAGGGCGCCGGGAAGAGCCCGGGATACTGCCGGCCCGGATCATAAAGCAGCCCCCCCAGGAAGGGAGCCAGCACCGAGCCGATGGACCACACCGCCGACAGGTACGAGAAGGCCAGGCGTTGGTTGGTGTTGTCCGTGATCCGGCCCAGGTAGGACTTGATGGTGCCGATGTTGCCATTGCATAGGCCGGCCAGGAAACGCAGGGCCAATGCCTGCCAGTAGGCCTTCGTCAGGCCGAAGAAGAAGGACGCGACAAAGGTCACCGACAGCGAGAAGGTGATGACCTGTGCCATCGGGTGGGGACGGCGAGCGCGCGCGCGCGCACACACACACACACACACGCACGGCAGGGAGCCGGGAAGGGGGGCGGCGATGGGGGGTGTTTGTGTCAGAATGTCAGCCGACGCCCCAGGCCAGGCGGGGGAGGGGGAGAAGGCGTCGAAAGGGGAAGAGGGCATCCCAGCAAAAAAAGACCCAGCCCAACTGCAACAAGGAGGCAAATCCCGGCGCGATGCCGCCAGCGCGGCGGAGGGGGAGGGAAGAGGAGGAGGCAGGATGCAAGCAGGCACGGGCACGGTACCTTCTTCGGGCCCAGGCGATCCGCCAGCCGGCCCCAGGCGTACGCCGAGCACAGCTGGCCCAAAGCAAAGGACGACAGCAGGATCCCGGAATAGAAGCCCACCTGGCTGGGGTCAACTTCCGGGAAGCTGGCCACCATGAACGGCACAAAGGGCAGGATCATGTTCAGCTGCATGCCCTCGCTGAATTGCACCAACAACACAATGGACAACGATCGCCAGGGCAGCGGGGTGATGGCCGGCGGGGGGGACCCGGACAGGGTGGTCCCCGGGTCGCCGGACTCCGGCACCGGGGCCAGCCGCGAGCGCTGGCGCACCGTGGCCGATGAGGCGCGCCGTGGGAAGCCGGCACTCGCGCGGCCAAGCCCCGGGGTGGCACTTCCCCATGGCCGCATGGTCGCCGGGTCCAGGCGCGACCCGCACTCCGGGCAGCAGGGCCCATCATCCACCGGCCCCGGGGTGCCAGCCTCCCCCAGCTGCAGGGCTTCCACCGGGAGGATGCGCGGCTCGATCGAGCCCCCGGGGCCCGGCGGCGGGGCATCCCCCCCGGGCCCGGCGGCGCCCACCGGCCCCAACACCCCGGAGGAGAAGGGCTGCGCCGCGCCGCACTCCGCGCACCCGCGGTTCAGCAGGGTCAATGTCGTCAGCGGCGAGGCCATGTCCCCGAGGCTGGCCCGACTGGCGGCCTCCTCCCGGGCCACGACCACCGCTCGGCGGAAGTCCGCACTATGGCGATGGGACACCCCGCTGCTGAAGCTCCCCCGGGGCCCGCCGCCGAAGGGGGCCAGCTCCGAATGCCGGCTGGCGAAGGACACCGGCGACGCCGAGCCCATCGGGTCCAGGCGCAGATCCGGCGACCAGGGCCCCGGCTGCGGGACGGCCCCGAGCGCCATCGCCGGGGGCAGGGCCGCCGGTGATCCGGGTCCCGCCGTCCAACGGACCGCCAGATGGTCCTCCGAGTGCGAAGCGAGCACGCGCGGCCGGGCGCCAAAGCCCCCGGCCACCGGCAGGCCCATTTGCTCCGGCCCCGAGAGCGCCATGCCGGTTGTCAGTGCCACCGGCGAGACAGCGGCCGAGTCATCCCACAGCTCGGACGACGAGGGATCCCGCTCAGCCACCAGGTCCAGGGCCGAGGCCGACCTCAAGCCGGTGGACGACCCGGCCGGGGCGCCCGTCAGGAGGGGCCCCTCCTCATCGGAAGTGGACGAGTCGCCGCCGTGCCCGACGAGTAACCTGCCGTGTGGCATGGTTCCGAGGGGACCGGCGAGGGGGGACCGGCGAGGGCCGAAGTGGAGGGCAGGAAAGAAAAATAAAGGCCCCGGCGAATGGAGCAGCCAGGCGGGCAGAGACACGATTCGGACAAAGAGCAAGACAACGCAAAACCGAAGGCCGGCAGGGCGAGCTACGAGGCGCAAGGGAGAGTGGAGGATGACCCGTCCTCCGGTTCCAGGAGACCGGCCCGGGGCGCGGGCTCTCAAGGGACGCCCCCC